CAACGTAAATTCAACGTTGTTGTAACGTTTTTTCGCGTCGAATTAACGTTGATATAACGTTTGAATCTAACGTTGATTTAACGTTGATAAATCAACGTTAAAAACGTTGATAACGTTGATAAATCAACGTTAAAAAAACTATCATTTTAAACGTTGTATCAACGTAAATTCAACGTTGTTGTAACGTTTTTTCGCGTCGAATTAACGTTGATATAACGTTTGAATCTAACGTTGATTTAACGTTGATAAATCAACGTTGAAAAAAACTTTCATTCTAAACGTTAAATCAACGTAAATTCAACGTTATTGTAACGTTTTTTCGCGTCGAATCAACGTTGATATAATGTTTGAATCTAACGTTAATTTAACGTTGATAAATCAACGTTGAAAAAAACTTTCATTCTAAACGTTAATCCAACGTTAATTCAACGTTAGGTTTCAACGATATTTCAACGTTATTTCAACGTTATTTGCCGGCTGGGAGGTATCTATAGCAACTAAATTAAAAAAAACCATGACTTCTATATAAAGTATAACCACGTATTGATCCCTCGTATTGGTGCCATTCATGCCAAATTAAGTGAATATAGTAATCATAAATAATCTGTAACTATTAAATTAGGTTGTTGCTAGGTAAATTAGTTATCTATAAAACTAAGTAACCATAGAAACCAAATAATAAATATGCCCATCATAAGAACCTCATATTAATGCAAACCTCATATTAATGAACAAACTAATTTTAAAGTACATCACACACATAAAAAATCTGCAACTACCAAAAACAGGTTGTTGCATTAGGTATCCAAGCAAATAAATATAAAAAATATCACTTTCATAAGAAGCGCCGACCTCATATTAGTACTCATGCCAAATTTAGTAAATAAAGACCTAATTTTTAATTAGTTATTAATTTCGTCCATTAAAAGTGAATTCTGGCCCAATGTGGACTTTCCACGCTATTGAAAGTGGCTTAAGAAATTGATTAACAATGACAGATTTTTTTATTTGTAGAATTGACATTACTATTAAAAATTGAATTTATTATTTAAATATATATTTATCTATTACTCTATGTTGAATAACAACTTCAATTAGGGCATAACCACCCCCGTAACGTTTGGATTAATAATGTTATATGAAAATAAAATAAAAAATTGTTTCTTAAACAGTTTATTTCAATAACCACATCAAATTAATGCAATTAAGAAAAAAATGTTTTTTGAAAAAGACGTTTTTTGAAAATGTTATTACACAAAAATTAATCTTTGTGAAAAAAACGATTTTGCCCTCATTGTTGTGGGTAGACTTTTCTTGTTACATTTTCTTTACAATTGTCATAGCTCAGATTATTTGCTGATTTTATTGCACGTTTGCATACTGTGTAGGCATTCTTTGTACTTACAGTCTGAGTTTTCTCATTCGATATACTCTTAGCTTTATGTTTTATTCAAAAACTCATTTATAAAAAACAAACAAAACAAATGCGGTATCTAATTTCCAATCTCAAAACAAAACTATATATCTTCAGGTTGGTGGCAAAATTTGGTAACTATATTTTGTTCGTAAAATGATATTTTTTGATATTTGTCATCAATTGGTCAATATCTTTGTCTGGTAAAAACTTGTAAGTGATATTATAAGGATAAATTACTCATTTTCTTAGTCAAAATAAATGTAAGTGCTACTAAGATCAAAATAGAACAGGCTAAGATTTATAACATCATTTACTGACTTCTGTGATTAGGATTTGCTCACACCATGGGCAACACTGCTTGGTAAAGTCACTTACTTATTTTTACCTGACATATTTTGAAATTATTCCCGTATGGTGGCAGCACTTACCATTAAACCCAATTGCCATTCCTGTCAAATTGGTGTGTGTGCTTTTTGCTTTGATTGAAGGTTCATATTATTTGGAGTATTTTAAACAGTGTAAAACGTAAATTATTCATTTTAATTTTTTTGTAACATTAAAGAACATGTCAATTACTGAAAAAAGTTAGTAAAAGGACACTAAAAATGGTAAATTTTGTGAAAAAAACGTGTTCCGAAAATGATGATTCTTGCTACAAATCCACGACATCTCATGTGAGTATTATTGTTTTATAATGAAGAAAATGATTCTTTTTGCCCCAGTATTACTGTGAGCTTATTTAATCATTGGTGCAAAATTTTTTATAGTTTTTATAATAACAATTTCGTTTACAGGTTAAAGAAAAAATGCTAACGCCGGAAATGGATACTTGTGAAATTATATTATTCGAGGATTGTAATACCATTATCGTATACGTACCATTATCGACTAATATGATTGCAGTAATAATGACGTCTTTGTGGTAAATTTTGTACCAAATCAATACTCAAATTCCGATCAGGTAAAAATCATAACTTAACAATTACAAATCAAAATAAAGTAAGGTGATTCATTGTAAGTATTTATCTATTATTATTTTTTCACATCTTCCATAATCGTTTTTACTCTATGGTAATTGGCAGATTTTGTTGAAATATTATGAATTCATAATTATATTATTCAATTTCAGGGTAACGAAGCACTGCTTAGTGAAGGCAAACTACATGAGAGCGAAAATGGTGTGAATCTTGTGCCTAATAATATTCAGATTTCTGTGGTTAATGAGGACAATAAATCAAGCAAAATTATAATAAACAATGATGTTATTGTACACAGCGACCAAACTTCTAATGTAAATGGCAACAGTGAGACAGTTACAGTTGAAAATACACTTGATAATGATGAAACTCAAATTGCTACCCTAAAACGTACTCGCTGGACAATATATCGTCCAGAAAGTTGGTTGGTCAATGTAGAAAAAGGTAAACGCAAAAAATGTTTACCTTATAAATCAAGGAAAGGAATTGAAAGACCAGCAATGCAACCAAAAGTGTCATGTAATAATTCATGTCGCTTTAAATGCTCACAGGGATTTACTGAAGAAGAAAGAATTAAAATATGTAGAACATTTTAGTCATTGGATTATGATAGGCAAAAGGATTTTTACATTGGTAATATAGAGCAAAATTTACCTATAAGAAAAAAGTTGCAAATAACAAAAGGAAATCGACAATTGCCCAGGTCTTATTTCTTCAAGAAAGGTGACGCAAAGGTGCAAATTTGTCAAACTTTCTATAAAAATACACTAAGTATTTCTGATGGGCCTATCATCCACGCTTTTAAAACGCGGAGCAATATGGGAGTATTTGAAGGACCAGATAAACGAGGTAAACACTCTCCGTCAAATAAAACCTCAGCAGATTCTCTAAATTTTGTTCAATCACACATAGAAATGTTTCCTGTAATGAAATTACACTATTGTTGTTGATCAAGGAAAAGGCTGTACCTTGATTCCAAGCTTTCAATTGCAAAGATGTACGAGCATTACTTGACAGAATGTGCAAGCCAGAATAAATCTCCAGTATCAACAATATCGTACAAACGAATATTTTAATTGAACTACAATTATTTTTTTTTTTAAACCCAAGACGGATCAATGTGTGACATGTAACAATCACTGCAGTGCCTTTAGTGAAGCTAAACTAACATTGTCAACAGAATACCAGCTTCACCGAAAAAGGATAGAAGATGGTCGGTTAGCCAAAGCTACAGACAAAGAGCGATTGTTCATTGATCCGACTTTTTTATCTGCAACCTTCGATCTCCAAAGTGTGCTACAAATACCGTCTAGTGACACTTCTCAATTGTACTACTCTCGCAAGATCTATGTCTAAAACTTGACGATATACAAACCCCGCTTGCCTAATAAAGGATATTGCAATGTTTGGACAGAAATGAATGGGAAAAGGGGTAGTTCGGAAATAGGAAGTGCCTTGTGGTTCTGGCTGAAACAAATTCCCAAAACTGTTAAAGAATTGCCTTTATTTTCAGATTGCTGTAGAGGTCAGAATTGAAATCAACACATAGCTGCATTTTTTATGTATGTGGTGCAAACACTCCATTTCGATTGCATTGAACACAAATTCTTAGAAATTAGGTTAACTTAGAAATTCCTGATTTATAGAGTTCTTCAAATATTAAAATTCAAATATCTCAGAAACACCAAAATGTTAGTTACCAATTTCTGCCAGCAACCCGACGATATATTCAAGTTTTTGCATGAACGCATTCAAATGTGACGATTGTAATTATTGTTATTCGTAATTACCTAACTTTGATAAATATTAAAAGTATGCGGTTGTGCCTCCTATGCGTCTATGCGGTTCTGCCCCAGAGGACAATTTTTAGAAAAAATACAGTTTCATAGCTTGGTTATTAGGTTATGTTGATATCAAAAATGGTTTTCATTTGATGAAATAATGCTGATAAATTATATCTTTAACACTAAAATCAAATATTTCTTATTCCTTAAAAGGAAGGTCTGGAAAAACATGATGTAAATATAATATTTTTATTAAATCAAACATTATTATCCACAACTTCTCAGAAACGTAACAAACACTCTTTTTGACATAAGCGAAATGAAGGAAACTGTTTTACTAACGTGTGGTATGATTTTTGCCATATTAAATAACATTTTTCAAAAGGAAATGTTAAAAAATGGTTGCGTCTTTATATGCAATTATGCCCCCATTTCCCCTATACGGTATTTGAGAAGAGTTTTTATCACTAGTCGGAAAACAATCTGGTCGAAAACGCATCGTTCCGACTAGGTTAAAAAGTCCAATCCGATTATTTTTAAATAACTTGAGTTCACATTACTAAGTTATTTTTATTTTACTGTTACGAGAACGTTTTTGTTGCATTAAAAAGAATATTCCGGAAACACTTAATGACGAAGATATTTCTACAAGTACAAAAAATAGACTTTGGTCTCCCAAGAACAAAGTCTAATTTTCGCAATCGAAGCTGGGCCTAATAAAAAATGACATAACGTGTTTATTATAAACAATGTGATTGGTTTATCATATATACGTCAGAGATCAAAGTACAAAAGTCTTGCATAAAATCTGATTTGCATAATCTTTGAAATTATTTAGTTATTCTGTTACAAAAGTGAGAGTTCTATTTGTTGTACAATTTAACATTAATCTCAATTATACAATTTAATATGGAATTAGATTCAGGAGCTTCAACAAATGGAGAAGAGTTACCAAAAACATTTCAAGAACGCTTAAGTGAAATTCCGACTTACACTATGACTTTGTCTCAGCTTCAAAGTTGGTACAGTTCGATTAAAGACAGAAATGCCATTTTAAAAAGTGCAATTAACACAGGAGAGAATTACGCTAATCGTTTGGCAGCAGCAGCAAAACCGGTTGTGATAGCAGCAACAAACACAGCACTCAAAGTTGCAAAGCCAGTTGTTGGAGAAATATCTGATCCAGGTAAATTGCTTTATCATTATTATTATTATTATTATTATTATTATTATTATTATTATTATTATTATTATTATTATTATTAATATTATTTTTTTAATTCTTGTTTCATGTATTTTTTTATTTATATTTTGTATTTGTTTATTTGTTGTTAATTTTATTTAGTTAATGAAGGTTTTTTTTCTTTTTGTGTTATAAAGTTGCTGCATTAGATAGCTGTGCATCAGAGGTTTTAGCAAAAGTACAAGAAAAAGCTCCTTTTATAAAGCAAACTCCAAAAGAGGTAACTTTAAGTTACTTTAAAATACCTTTTCTTTGTATATATATATATATATATATATATATATATATATATATATATATATATATATATATATATATATATATATATATATATATATATATATATATATATATATATATATATATATATATATATATATATATATATATATATATATATATATATATATATCGTGACATTAGAATAATAGGGTTTTATCTCCATTTTTAATGTTAAGAGAATCTAACTTTCAATTTTTAATTAATTATTTTACTGCTGTTGTTGTTTATATTGATAAAATATTTGTTTTTTATGTTATTTATAATTAATCTTACATTATTAATTTTATAATTTTTAAAATTATTTGTTTACAAATTAACTGTTAATTCCAACTTTATTAAATAGGGTTGAAGTTAACAATGAAAAAACAAAAACATACATTTTTAAATATTATATAAATAATAATAAAACTAATTTACTAAAATTATATAATTTTGAACACAAAATAATATTTTAAATAAAAACAGAAAATTAAATTTTTTTGCCATGAAAATTTAGAGAAGAACCATATAGAACCCTATTATTCTAGCATCACGATATGCATATATATATATATATGTGCATATATATATGTGCATATATATATGTATATATATGTATATATATATATATATATATATATATATATATATATATATATATATATATATATATATATATATATATATATATATATATATATATATTCCAAAATTTGAATAAAATTAAGTAATATTTAGAGGTAGCAACTTAAGATTAAACAAACTTTAAAAACAAGCTTTAGCTTGATAATATAATCATGAAACAATATTAAACAATAGTTTCTTAAAGGTCTAGAAGTGTTCTTAGTGAAACATAAGAGTTGTTTTCGTCGGAACAGGAAACTCTTTCCGATGGCTGGACTAGTTGTAACAGATACTGTTTCTGAGTTTCATCCTTTGTCAAGGAAGAATTAAAAGATTGAATGAGTGCAACCCCTTTTTCTGCGCAATCATTTACAACCTTTAGAACTTTTACACTAGGCAGCATTGATTGAGAGGTTGTGTCAGAAGCCCAGTTGGTTGGATGCTTTGACAAGAAGGTTCTTGCTTCTTTCTTTCCATTTATTGCTAGAAGATTGAAGATATTCAAAGAACGACTAGTGATGTATGTCTGCAATGGTGCACGTTAGTTAAAATTTTTGAAGTCCGGGCGTTTGCGTGCATTTGCATTTGGTGGCAGAAAAAAGTTGACAACCATAGAAGCTTTAGTATCATCATCAACGCGTTCATCAAAGAGAACGAGAGCAACAAGTGTCTCCGAAAAATACCACAAGTGCCAACCAAATGCCTTGATAGTAGACTCTCTGACTTTGATATTTAGGTACTTGTGTAGTAGAATTAGGAGATTCATATCATTGAAAGGAGCTCTTGATGTAAGAGGAGCTTCATGCCAATAGCGGCCATAGACCAGTGATACAAAAATTGCAATGGAATCAATTCCGGCTATCTCTTTTGCAGTAAGTTTGACCTAATCTTTAACTAGAAAAATCTTGATAGAATATATGGTATTAGCCATCCATCTGGCATGATGCATTGCTCTGGGTGCACGAAAACTAAATGTACCTTCGCCTCTTAGGAAAACATAACATAGCTGTAGTAGCTCCTTGTAGTCATCACAGGGAAGTTCTGCATGTATTCTGCGTTCTGTATTCTAGTTCTGCGTTCTGTATTCTAGTTCTGCGTCCCTGAAAAATATATCATATCTATACGAAGACCAATGGGCATACCTTCAAAGAGGATGTCAGGTGCAGACCTAAAATCATCCTTGTTGATGAATGGCCGCATAGTTTGAAATTGTTTAAACAGGCCTATTTCAGGTCCACTGGATAGTCCAACAACAGACAACACATTGGCGAGCACGACCTAAAACACGTGATAATGACAAGCAATCCATACAAGTTCCTTTTCCAGAGCTCTTTCAAATAAGGTGCAGGCACTGATGATTAATCCTGTGTTGGAAGCTGTTGTATCGAAGACTAATCCTTAAATCAATGGTTTGAGTTGCCAGTCTTCTAATGTACGTGTAATGTAATGTAGCAGGCATTACACTGTTCTTGGCCTGTACCACCTCCAATCTTTGGGACAGCAAGTAGTTGCTCCTTTTCTTTCCTCAAACAAAAATGGCAATTTGATCTATAAGTTCTTTACTGTTGCCGGTAATGTCTGGAAGCAACTTTCCATCCCAATGAAGTAGTAACAAATAATCCGTGTTGGCTGAAAATGATGCCTGTTGTGCAGTTGCTACTGTCTTCCGTGTGGCCATACAAGCACATTTAATAACACTACCAGACAAAGCCACATCATCTAACTCCACACTAAGCGCTTGTGCCACTGCCCCAACAAACATGGCACCTCGACCAGGAAGGTTGACTTGGTCAAGTGCATATGCCACTTCATTCATGATGATGGATTTCTTTAACTTTATTGAAGCTGGTTTAGAATTGGTTGATTTGATGGGATGACAAAATTATCACCAGAATCAAATAAAGTCAAGGAGGAGCTGTCTGAATCAAGTTGAACAAGAGATGTAGATGGGACTGCAGTCTGCTGTTATAGAACTTTCTCCTATCTAGCAGCTTCTAGTGAAATTCTGCTTCTTTTATGGGACTTTTTGTTGGTTAATGACTGTTCAATTCCAGCCATGCTGGCACTTCAGGGATCTTCTTGTTGCATTTGCAAGAACTGCTTGTCCTCTTCATTGGTCATGAGTTGCATGGCATCCTTGATGGAGATATCAAATAGTTCTTCAAGATCAGCTTTAAAATGTTCCTCATTGAACCGGCAACCATCTTTCTGCAATAGTCGATGTTTCTTCAACTTTCTTCAAAAGTATTTATTATATAATTTGCGAAGTTTCCGCACTCCAGAGTCAATTCGTTGTGTAAGAATCCTAGCTTTCGCCCAAATTTTTAAAGTCGCATCCATAGCCATTTTTTAAAATTCTAGCAATCGTTAGTCCATTTTCAATGTGGTGGAACATTTTTCAAGATTGCACCATTTGTCGGCAATCCAGAACCAAGAATTTCCTCTTCATGCTTGCCAATCAGCCAAACTTGTGGTAAACTTCTAGGCTGCGTCTGCGTCTGTTTTCTATGATGTAAAAAAATAATCAGACAAATTTTGTAAAGTACTGTAATTCATTAAAACAGCTTTAAATTACTTAAAACAAATATTAATACTGTTTATAAATTTATCAATGGTCTAATAATCGCCAATTGACAAAAAGCAACTATGTACTTAATTCCAAAAAATATTGGGGTTAGTTTATTCACCGCTTACTTAAGACCAATAGATAAATAAAATAATACATAAATAAAATTGTACATGCTATACACAATTTTAATCAGTTTTTATGTAGCGAAAACCCTGTCACGAACTAAAAATAAAAATTGTTCTTTTGGTTGCTACCTCTAAATATGTTCCAAATTAAAATTTGTCCTGAACATTCCTATTACCAAATGGAATGAAGGGAACCTCGTGGAGCAGCATTCTGATAACATTTATTTTTTATCATTGTATCGTAGACCACCCTAATACATTCATACATATATACATACATTTATACATGCATACATACATACATACATACATACATACATACATACATACATACATACATATATAGCTATTCCACTGGTTTAACATGATTGTATAGAGCTAAAAAAACTTTTACTTTTATGGCTGTGTAATGGCATTGAAATAAAAAAAAAAAAACATCAAAAATCTAATGCAAAAATCAAAACAAGCAATATGAAAAGGAAAAAACTCATTATATAGATATTTTCTATATGCAAATCCTAAGTACCATATCTTTAAGAAACATAAATAAATACTTGTTTTAAATTGAAGAAAGACTATATTGTCATCTCCATATGGATTCTTTCAAAAAGCTGTTTTTTCTATATAAATCAACCATGAAGTTTTTAAATGCTAAGAACTAAGAAATTATTTATAAGATTCTTCGTCCCTTATATAATATATATATATATATATATATATATATATATATATATATATATATATATATATATATATATATATATATATATATATATATATATATATATATATATATATATACATGTAAAACTTACTACATTCTATATATGGAAAAAGGTTCAGTCAAATTAATTGATGCAAAAAATGTCAAGATTCTAGCTAAATTATAAAAAAAGATAGAATAAAGTTCATGAAATTTACGGTTTTTTTTTTTCAAATGTCAAATTTTTTTGTTGCGCTCTAAAATTGCTAAAATATACATTTACATATATGAAACGTAGTTTTTTTATTTGTGCCAGAGTTAGAGCCGAGTTTTACTAATAAGCTTTCTCTCAGAATGCTAATATAATTACTATGTTAATTGTCATAAAATATTGTGGTTGATTTGTAAAATACTTTTACTATTAAATTGTTTTATTTGGTCTTTAAATTTGCCCCTTGCAAAAAATTTTCTAATTTTATTATTATTAAACACATAAACACGCACTCACACGCACACACATGCATACTGTGTTGTGTGCGCATTGCACTCAATACATGGTGCAGCCATGGCGTAATAGTTAAAGTTGTGGCTTCAGAACTGGAGTTTCCAGGTTCAAAGCTAGCTTTTGCCATAAATGCATCATTGGTAGGAAAGGAGGCATGAACATCCTGAATAAATGCTACTTTACAGTGTTCTGTGATAAGACTGTTCAGACTTCTTGGAGCACCTATAAAAATAATAAAAAAATAGTAGCATTCAAATTTTTTAAATGTATCAAAGTTACTAATTTTTAAACAGTTAAATTTTGAAGTAATTAAGCTTGGATTAAATAACTTTGAACCTCAATTTTTTCTAAATTCTTATTAGTGAAACACTTTTAAATTAAAATAAAAACATATTTTAGTTTTGTTTTAATTTTTTTTCTGGTTTATTTATTTTATCATTCATTTTTATCCATTTTTTTTTCATCTGTGCTGAGCCTAACTACACACTAAATAGAGAAAAAGAGAGAAAGAAAAAAAGAGTGACTACTAAAAATAAGTAACTATTAATCTATTTCTGTAAATTTGTTTTATATTTTTGCAAATATTGCAATAGGGTTAAGGCACGCTTCAGGGATCTCTAAAATATTTTATTTTTAGACATTAAAAACAGGTTTTGTACCCATTGGTATTATTACGAATAAATTAATTTGTAAAAAAAACTCTTTATGTCAGTAAAGTATAAATTTGTTTTAATGCAATTATTTTATTTTAACTAGATTGCTGAACATGCAAAAGAAAAGGCACAAGAAACATCAAGCTATGTGCTTGATAAATTAACATTGTCAAATGTTGGTCAAGAGACTACTAAACAACTTGATAATGTTGTTTCTTTTTCTGAACTTATGGTAGAAATTGTTTTTCCAACAGATGGAAAAAATGCAGAAGATTTAAAAGAAATAGAAAAAGCTGAAGAAGATGAAGACAAAGGGCTTGTTGTTCGAGCAGCAAATCTTAAAGATAAAACTATTCGAAGAGGGACTAAAAAACTAATGACATATCAACCTGTTAAAAAAGCTGTTGATATGGTAAATTTTTTTTTTACAATTATTTTTAAGTTATTACTAAAATATTTTGCTGTGTGTGTGCCGGTACAGAATTAGACTTACTTAAAGCTACTTAACAAGTGGTATTAACAACAACAACATATCAAGTGGTAGATTTTAATAAATTGCAATAATATCATAATATTATTTATTGACATAAACGGTTTCTAATAGAACTTTATAAATTTTTACATTTTGTTAAAAAAAAACAACATCACCATATTATTAACTCAAAGTTTTAGTTTTTAGACTCAACATACTAATAGTTTTTTGTAAATTTAAATATAATATAAATTTAGAAAAAAATTTTCTAATATTAAATATAATTATGTGATCTATAATCCAGTATAATCTATTATATATCTATTTTTATTATATTATTCTGTTTATATTATATATATATATTATATTATTATATTGTATATATAATTATAGGTTCAATATACTCAAGCTCGTATCATGGAGATGACAGAAAAACTCAAACAAGGATCTAATTATGTGACAGTAAAAAGCTTGGAAACCAAAAATGATATTGAAGCAAAAATACCAGAAATAAAAAAAGTTGTTGAAGAAAATTTGACAACAGGTAGTGAGTTCCTAACAAATAACTGGGATTATATCTACCAGACAACTATGTATATACCAAAAAAAGCTATTCAAGTTACTGGAGAAGTTTACATATCAGCCCAAGAAATTGTTTTTGCCTATTCTAAAGTAAGTTTTATAAAGGTGTTGCAATTTTTTTGAGGATTTTAACTTGAATTGTGTAAGTGCACAATGTGAACTATTGTTAAGAAGTTATGTCATATTAATTTTTCTTAAGAAGTAAATCATATTTTTATGTTTACATATTTTTATTATTAGAAAAAAGGGTGATTATGTGTAAATATTTAGATGTGAGAAGTTATTGTGAAAATTCACTTAAAAATTTCAGTTATGTCGAAAATAAAACTGGGTGATTTTCATAATTTAAAGTTTTATGCTATTGCAAAATACACCATGAAACTTGAAGTTGTGAAGTCACGTTATTTTATCTTCTCATATAAATTATATTATTAGGTTTTGCGGAAAGTTCTGTCCGTTTTCAGAACAAAATATGTCACTTGATAATAAAGATAAATGTAAAATAACTTTGTTTGAGTTAATTTGCTACATATGTATAAATACGTTAAACGATAAAAATAATGAGCCCGAACATGGGCTAAATAAACATGTGCTAGCGCGTCGAAAGTTGTTTTTACAGAAATGTGCAGAATTTTCCAATAGACAGTATTTCTGCAGTGGTATAAATATATTTAATTGTATTCTTATTAGGCTCACTCTTTAACTGAGATTCCTCATGCAGTAGTTGAAATGGTAGAAAAATATTACAAATCTCTGAAAAGTGAAAATCTTCCAGATCTGAAAGATAAGGCGGTCGCCTTTGTGTATGTACCTGCTCACGTTGTGTCTGAATATATTCGTTCTACTAAAGTGGTGCAATGGTTTATGCCTGAAAATGTAGAGACAGAGATGGTTCAAGTTGTTGAAGAAGATACAAAAATGTAGTATTTCCTACCCTTATAAATTCTTATCTTTATTGTGTTTTCTTGATATAAAATTTTGTATAATATTTATATATTGAAATCTTTTTTTTTTAATGCTTATTTTTATTTATTAGTTTTTTTTTTTTGCATAGAACGGAAATAATTTATAGTCATAAATTTAAATATGTATTGAGTTGTAATAAATTTGTATTTAAAAGAATGATTTAAGCAAAGTTGTATTTTTCACATAATAGAGATATCTTGAGACATCTAGGGTTTGTTATTTATAATCCAGGTGGAAGGTTATAGAGAAGTAAAGAATAGCAAATAAGAAAAAAAAATTTAAATTGAAAAAAATAACCTTTTTACAGAAATTTTTATTATATTATAAATTTGTCAAAGTTTTACAAACTATATTTGCAAATTCATATAGTAAGTCGCCCGTAAATTGCAAATAGCACGAATGCTTAATTTGCTGCTCTCGTTTTTTTTTTTTTTTTTTTATTTTTATAATTTTTTTTTATTGCCGTTTAGATTCTAAGTAAATTTTGAGTCATATCTTACTCCTAATAAGACCTCTAAGATGCGATAAGAACTTTTAGACGCAGTATATCTTTTAAAACTAAACAAAAGTGTGGGATTTGATAATATTAATAGTAATGTAATTAAAAAATCGATTAATTACTTTTACATTCCTCTTTTACTTATTTTTAATCTCTTTTTTACTATCCCTCTTTTACATATTTTTAATCTCTTTTTTACATATTTTTAATCTCTCTTTAAAACTAGGTCTTTATCCGGAGAAACTTAAAATTGCGAGGGTCATACCCATTTTCAAATCAGGAAACATTTCTAATCCTGAAAATTACATCCCAATTTCAATTCTCCCTTGCTTCTCTAAAATCTTAGAGCGAATCGTAAAAATCGTAAAATCGAATTTAGATTTTTCTAAATATAAAAAATATTCTATATAATAAACAATTTGAATTTCAGCCAGAGTATTCAACTGATCATGTCGTTATTTAATATTGTTCACGATTTATTTAAAGCATTTGACAAAAAAGGCAAGTCTACCCTCGGAGATTTTATGGATCTTGGCATTATGAGCAACCTAAAATGCACTACTTTAAAGTATTGTGGTGTTTATATTCAGACTAAGTAACACTTTACAATTCCAAATTTCTTGGGGTTTGTATGAAAATTTCTGAACATTCAATAATAGCTGCCAAATTTTTTATATTTTTTAAATCATCAAGGGCTTGTTGCATTTAACGTGCCAAGGTCTGGTACAAATATAAGATGCTTACAAACTTCTGCTAATGTTTTTATCCAAGAATGAAATATTTTGGAACATGTGCTAATAGAAATATTAAAAAAAACGACTAGCAAGATCTTTGTTAAATGATCCTAATCGAAGTTTCATTAAAGTCAGCAGAAACTCATCTTGTGAACATAATTTTCTTGCACGTGCTACTTTTTTTAGTGTTTCACTGACAGTTCTTTTAACAGAAACAGAATTAAATTGTTTTTTAACATAAGAGCTAATAAAGTCATGCAATTTATTAAATAACTCTAAAGAACCAAGATTTGTATAGAACTTTACATTACTGTTTGATAGAAGTTTCTTATATACAGATATAGGCTTAGTTGGTTGGATTATAATTTTGTTTTGAAGTTTAATATTTTCAGCTTTTAACTTCTTAATTTCTAAATAACAGTTGATAATTAAAGCATAGAGTGTTAAAATTAAAAAGACCATTTTAGTCAAAATAATTGAATTTAATTGAATATTTTTTTCAGTATTTGATACAAACTGACTTTTAGATGCTAAAGTATCAAGATCGTCTGTCAATATTTCTGAAGAAAAAACAGGAAAAACTATTATGCATTACCAAAGATTTTTCACTAATGTTTGTTTGGATTTTAGTTTTAAAAGTAGAGTTCTTTAAACTGTTTTTTTTTTAACATTTTAGCATTTATTTTATTAACTGCTGTAATCACATATGCATTTTTACAAGTAGAGGCGGATATAGTGGCTGTTTTTATTGAAAATGAATCAGAAATTATGTTGTTATTTCGTTTATTTATTGGTCGATTACAATTAGATGAAACAGAAGGAAGAAATTATTATTTTATTTAATGCGTTCTATCCTAATAGTTCTGTAGGATATTCAAATTTTTCATGAATAAAATGTTCCGAACAAATTCTACTGTAATTAGAAGCTTCCCATTAAGATTTGTCTGAATTTACCCGATTTATCAATTTTTTTCAAATGGATCGACGCTCTGGGTCTTTTTCTTCAGTAGGAAAAGGAATAAGTTTAAATGGTTCAGAACAACAGCAATTAGGATCTTCTTTTGAATATTTATGAATTTCACAAATAGCTTCTTTCCACTTTTTAAATTTGGTTGAGTGATTGGAACAACCAATCAAAGAAAAGTTATGTAGCCATATTAAGCAAATAAAAAAACTAATATAAACAAATCCAATGTTACTTGGTGAGCGAAAGATACTATGACTCAAAATGAGGTTTTGACTTTTTAAAAAACGAAGACCAGATATATTACTGAATTGGGGAGAAATGTAGGAGAGTGCTTCTACATTGACTTATTTAGGGATAACATGCAAGGGAATGCTGCTACATCGACTGAGGGTTTGGGTTAAGATAGGTATAGATCAATCGATGTAGCAGCACTCTCCTACATTTCTCCTCAAATCAGTAATATATCTGGTCTTCGTTTTAAAAAAAAATCAAAACCTCATTTTGAGTCATAGCATCTTTCGCTTACCATGTTACTTCTTATGCTGTTTGTTTATTTTATTTATTCTATATCTACTTTTTTAAGTAAAATACGCACGAAAGATTCAAATTTCTTATTATTCCGAAATTTAAAAAATTTCGAATATCGTCTGATAGACGATATTCGAAATTCTTTTTAAGATTTAAAAAAAAATTTTTTTTTTAACAATTATCTTATTAACTTGTCTCTAATTTAAATTTTCTTTAAATTATTCTATTAATTTATCTTTAGTTTGTAGGTGTGATTATTTTTTGTTTTCTTTTTACAATTTTCTTTTGATTTTTTGATTAGTAACTGATCTTAACATACTTCTAAATATTTGTATATAATTTTTAAATGGTACAAAGTAATTGTATGTTTACGTTTTAATGGTTGTACAGGCTTGCTGATGAAAACATGTTGGGGGGAGTAGTGATAAGGCAAATATTGCCTTCTTTTAGCCCCGATCATGTAGATTTTATTTATATAACAAAGCATTATTTTTTTTTGTAATGACGAAATAAATGAAAATAAAAGAAATAAAAAAAGAAAGTAAAAAAATAAAAAACTCCTATTCGTTATTTCTTGTTTACAAAGTAAAAAATCTCAAGATAGTATCTTGAAATCAGGACTGTCCCTAGGGTTAGTGGCGTCCGGGGCAAACGTAGTTATGGTACCTCTAGTAATAGTTACGTATATAAGTTGTTTGTACTGCCACCAATACTTTAACACACCACCTACCACTCTACCAAAAAGATAAATATTTATACATTCAATTTAAGAATTGTAATAAGTTAAGGAAATCAAGTAGTTCAAAAAATGTAATTCTAAATAAAAATTTCAATTACTAACAAATGGATAAATTATAACGATATTTTTCGTGATTTTTTTAAGGAAAATTGTTCAATAATTTTTGTAATTTTTGTGCACAATTTTTCTACAAAAAATGTAATTTTAAATGAAAACTTTAATTACTAGCAAATGGGTAAATTTATAACGATACTTTTCGTGATTTTTCTAAGGAAAATTGTTCAATAATTTTTCTAAGGTTGAGTTTTTTCGCCTTCTTGTTTTCAATTGAGAGTATGGCAAGCAATGTCAATATTTTTTGCGTCATTAATGTATATAGGTAGGTTTTAATTAACTTTAACTAGAAGAAACTACGTTCTCTGCTGGTGACTGTCACTGGAATTGTCAGCAATATGCATAGTGCTATTCCTAGATTAGTAAAAAGGTCTTTTTTGTAGAATTTTCATTGTATATCTGAAATATTTTTCACAGCCAGGTGTTCTTGTAACATTTTATAACCTTCTCTAAGTTTTTCCTTTAGTAGTAGTTTTTTCAGCTTAAATAACAGGAATTTGTAACTCGTATTTTGAGAACTTTACCATTCTGATTTTAAAGATGATTCAATTCTGTCAATTAGTGGCAAATATCATTTTTGAAAGATTCTTCTGTGCTTGGGAAGTAACCAACACTTAATTTATGCAGAAAAAAGTGTATAGATTTTTTGAGTAATTTCAAACAGCAATATAGACTTCACCAATGATTTACCTTCGTCTAATATAACTACGTCGATAGGGTGTAAATGAGGGCTGTGAATATTCTGCTGAAATTCGAGCTTGAACACCATTTCGAATTGGAATCATATTAGACCCGTTGTCATAGCCTTAACCTTTACAGTTGTTTAGGTCTAGCTTAAAAGGCTTTATTTCTTCAATTAGAAGGTTAAAATGAGCTTTACCAGTTGAGTCTTACACACTGCATATCTAATAAAGTATTCTTGGACAATGGCTTTTGCTTCATTCTCCATGAACATAGGGGTGATTAGAGAAGTTTGGCCTTTTGACAATGATCTGGAATACAATCCGCAACAACCAAATAATACTTTCCAAACTCTATCTTGTTCACAATAGCTTCTTTTACATGCAAAGCTATAAGGTCAATGACTTAGTTTTTGAATTTTGATACTTAGCATTTCTGAACATCTTTCTCCATCCTTAATTCGCTGTAAATGTTCCATCAAAATTGGATCAAAATCAACCAAGTAATTGGGTAAGACCAAGGAAGTTCCCAAAATTTTTGGTGTACAGCTTCGATGAGCTTCACGGAATGCAATACTATATTCGCCAAGTACATATTCACTGACACTACTCTATTAAGAATGCTTCTACAACTTTCTGCTTCATTGTTAACATGTTGGATAAATATTTAATCGACTACATGTTTATTTTTTACCCTTACTGTTGCCTCGATCCATTTCTCAGAACATCTGAAATGAGATAGAGATGTCTCATGCATTTAGGATTGCTCTGTGAATTTTTTCCAGTTTTTGAAACCTTCTTTTATCCCAAAATATGATTTTAGAGTTGGGACAAACAGATGACAAGGAAGACAATAAGCTAAATCAGTTTCTGGAGAATTAATAACCATCTCCTCTTTATTTATTTATCATTTCTTGCTACCATGTATCGAAAATCTTTTTAGA